AGAAAATGCTCAAGCCTGTCCAACCTTTGTGACGTCGATTCTGCTTTCTTTTTTCCGGAGGCTGAAAAGCCCCTCAGGAAGTCACAGGGGCTTTTAGCTTCCATTGAGCCTCAGTTGCCTCACTGTGCTGATGGATTGAGGCTTAATGACCCTATGTAAGGTGGCTCAGCCTATGATGTGCCAAACACGGTTCCAAAGCCTTGTGACACCTCATTGCAAATTGAAGGTGGTAACCTTCACTTTACTTTTTTGGTGGTGCTGGATTTTGACTTCAGGGCTTTGCACTTGCTAGGCAGGCGCTCTACCACTTGAGCCACACCTCCAGTCCTCACCTTCATTTTAAATATGAGCAGACTGAGGCTCAGGAAACTGACCTGCCCAAGGTCACACAGCTAGTAGGCAGCAGAATCAGATTGTGAACTCAGGCAAGCTGGCTTTTAGCTCGTACTCGTGGTCAGGATCAGAGGCTAGGGCATGCCAGGGCCTGTGGAGGCAGGATCAATGTGGAGCCATGTTTGAGTAGGGCAGGGGACAGAAGTGCTGTGGTAAAACCAGGGTCAGGACCAGGGTCGGTGCAGGGCAGGGACTCACCTCTCCCCACGCCCCCCTTCACATAAGTGCTCAGCAGGTCTGTGTGAGAATCACTTCCTCAGTTAATGTCCACTCCTCACAGGAGGGATTTTTGTGACCCCAGAACAAGAATGCGTGTGGGAGCTCAGGTTCCTTTTCCCCAGACCTGCTCCTCCCACACTGCTCTCCTCAGCGCCCCTTCTGGGCACATCTCATCCTGTCTATTCCTCACACCCACCCTGGGCTTCCCTGTTCCAGGGCCTCTGAACTCTATAAGGCTCGGTCCTCCTACTCCCATCAGTGGTTTTTCCAGGTTCTGGCTCCTCTCTCCCTCCATTTGGGTATCTTCACAGGCCCCCTGCCCTCCTACCCATGCTAGGGAAGCTACCCAATTCCTTACTGTGGCTCTGCTTCTCTTCAGAGTAGCTGAGACACCTGTGCTGTCCTGGCACCGGCCCTAGGAAGGGGTCAGATCCACAGGAGGTCAGATTTTCCTCCTCTTGTCCACTGCTGTGTCACAGGTCCTCTAGGACTGCTGGTGGCAGGAAGGGGGGATGGGAAGGAGGGAAGAAGAGAGTCAGGATGCCTCAAGCTTGTTGGATTTTATGATTTTAAATTGAGAGAGATTTGATCCTAATTCCCTGCAGAGGAGAAGAGGGAGGTGAGAGGGAGAAGAAAAAGGATGGAGAAGGTGCCCTATGAGTCCTCAAGCTTGCAGGAAACATAAGGGCAGATTCCTGGTGACTGATGGCTCCCTGGGGCATCCTCGCTTGCCCTGAACACAGGATGAGATGTTTCAAGTCTTAGGTGATGAAGGGAAGGAAAATTCTCCAAGCAAGGGCTGTGAAGAGTTCACCACTTGAGCAGAGGCATTCTGGCTGCCTGGCCCCTGTGGGACAGAATGAAACTCAAAGCTGGGTCTCAGCCTCCCTCACCCATCCCTTGAATGGAAGCCCCTGCCTAGCAGAAGCTAGAAGGTGGTATGGCAGGGTCCTAGCAGGAGGCCTTCCGCCCCCCCACCCCACCCTGTCCCACCCGTCTCCAGGCCACCCACGTGATTACAAACTGGCCCCTCCCCCTAGAGCCTCCCTGCCTGTCACTCAGGCTGTTTCTTCCTATCACAATGCCAGCCCAGCAGTCATGTGATGTGAGACAAATAGCCCTGTCTTGTTGGATGATGATACACAACACAAGGACACAGCAGGTGACCCTGGGACAGCCTCAACTGTCCTTTCTAGGTGCTGAGGACAACCTCAACCTGAGTCTGCCTGTCCATCTGGTCACTCTATCTCTCTCCATCCATACATCAACGGCTTAGATAAGAAGATTCTTCTCACCCGGCACTGAGGCTCATGCCTGTAATCCTAGCTACTCAGGAGGCAGAGATCCAGAGATCGGGAGATCACAGATCAAAACCAGCAGGGGGAAATATTTTGTGAGACTCTGTTTTGAAAAAACCCATCACAGAAAAAGGCTGGTGGAGTGGCTTAAGGTAGTACTGCAAAGGAAACAAAAAAGAAGATTCTTCTCAACGACTCCACTGGTAGTCTCACGCAAAAGATGCCTTCTACGCTGCATTTTTTAGGCTCTTATGATGAACAACTTTCACTACAAATTCTTAGCAATACGCTCTTGCCTGGGCCACATGAGCAAGGCTTCTGTTCTGCCTCATGCGACTGGAGGTCTCTGCCCTTCCCTAGGAGGGCTTCTCCCCGTAACCAACAGCATCCCAACCAAAATCCTACCTGCCTGAGGCCAGGAACACGTGGCTCAGGGTTCCCAACCAGGCCCAGGACCAACACTGCTCCCTGTAACCTCCCTAGTTTTGCCTTTGAGCACTTGCTCCATGCTGCATGCCACGCCATGTAATAATCGCCAGACTGAATGCCTGATTAGGTTGTGTTTCCACTCTGCACATAGGTAAACTGAGGCCTGGAGATGTTTTCACCTCACTCACCGAGGGCTAAAGGTGGATTCTTGGATCCACAGGCAACTGAAGGAGCACCATAGAGGTCAGTACAAGGGCAGCACTGGGAAGACAGCAGTGGACACTGGAAGTTGGTGTCTCTATGGGGAGCTGTAAATCTTGTGAGGACCACACCCTGATCACTGAGCATGTGACTCTGCAGAAACAAGACACTTTCCCAGAAGATCTCAAAGCATACCTGTCATTCTGCATATTCCAGAGGGCTGGGATTGGGGAGTCACAAAGTGTCCCCATTTGGCAACTGGATAAACGGAGGCTCAGTAAACAAGTGCAAGGCCGAAGTCAGAGGCGAGCACAGGAGGCTCCAGGCCCAGCTGGGTGACCGTGTGGTGAAGGGCAGCAGAATGACACAGTGTTTGCTGGTATAGAGTTGATCACTCAGCCATTGGGGGGTCCCTGAGGTACCTCTTTGTGGGAGTAACTCTAGTATCTAGGAATTTCTTAGAGGGTGTTCAGAGGCACGGGTGAATCCCGCTGAGTGTTCCAGGAAAGCACTTAAAGCCCAGCATTACTGTTTACATTGCCAAGAGCTCCAGGGCTCCTTTCCAGCTCCTGTTTTATCTTTCACATCTTCTGCTAATTTGGATCGGAAAGGCTTGGGTTCTGAGGGCTGCTTCTGGCTGCCCAACATGGGTGGCATGCCTTACCCAGCTCCTCGTCTGTAAGGAGCTGAGGTTGGCAATGACAGGTGAACACTGCTCTAACGTTCTAGTTTTTTTGAATGAACTGCCACGGTTTTAATGTGTTCCTAAATTTCATGTGTTAGATATTTACCCAAATTTGTACTGACTGGATGTGTAGGCCTTTGATAAGAAATCAGGGTCTGCATGATGGGACTGCAGCTTTGTAAGAAGAGGAAGAGAGCATGCAGCCGAGTTGGCATATGCATTCTGTGTTCTGTCTTTCCACATGGCACCCTCTGCTGTGTTAGGATGTAGCAAAAGGGCCTCACCAGATTTAGAGCAGATATCAGTGCTGTGCTCTTGGGTCTCCCAACTTCCAGAACCATGAGCCAAATAAACTATTCTCTACAAACTTTCCAGTCTCAGGTACTTTGTTATAACAACAGAACATGCACTGAGCCATCCCATCCAGGGTCTTCTTCCCTCCTGCGTGGAATAGCTAAGTGTGTGGTTAATGATAGTGAGTCACTGGGTCAGCTTTGCAGAATGGTTCATAACCAAAGTTATGAAAAATGCAATACAAAGAAAGACCTATGCTTTCAAAGCACCTCAAAAGCTAATTGTACTCCCTAATTTCTGATACATCTTGTCCACTTCCTCCACAGGCCTCACTGCACTAATCCCCTCCCCTCAGGTAGAACACATCCATCCTTGTTGCCTGTAATGGGAGCTGCTCCTGTGGCCAAGGAACCAGCAAGCCAGAACTGGTCACCTATCTCTGGTGCCTCTGCTGAGCAGGGAGGAGGAAGGACACTCAGCCAGCAAAGGTCAGCAGAGACCACAGAGGATGAGGTGTGACAATGTCCTTACCCTCTCCAAGGCTTTAGAAGCTGCAGTGTGACAATGGCACTGCCAAGAGGCATCAGGAGACGCCCTCCTTCCAGGTGAGAAGAGAGGTCCACAGAGGTGCCTATGGACTGAACGTGTCACCCCTTCATATATTGGAGGCCTGACCCATCAAGGGCCCATATTGGGAGGTGGTGCCTCTGGGGAACTTTAGGTTTAGATGAAGAGGGTAGAAGGGATTAGTGCCTTGAAGGAGAAGCAGGGACCCCAGTGCTCTTTCTCTTTGCCTTGAGAGGACACAGCAGGAAGGCAGCCATCTCTGACCCAAGACAGGCGCCCTCACAAGAACCCAGCCACACTCACTCCTTGGTCTTGGACTTCCAGGTTCCAGAACTGTAAGAAACAAATATGCAAAGTTCTCTAGTCTCTGATTTAGCAGCCTAAACTAAGACAAGAGGGACAGTTTCCCCAAAACCACAGACAGAAGGGGTAAGGGGTGCAAGACTGGGGCTGAGGCCAGAGTGTTACTGTGCCTCCAGGTTATTCTGGAGAGTCCCAATGGTCTTTCAACACATCCAGGGCTGCTCCAGGAAAGGGGCTGCAAATATCCCGTGAGGTTCCAGGGCAGTGGAGCATGAGCAGAAGGAAGGAAGATGGTCTTTGAGATGAATTGCCTGGCCTGCACAAGGAGGGAGGGAGACAGCCATCATGGAAGGCCACTCTCTCAAGATTACATGGGGGTCCTGCACTGGGAAGGGGAATTTGAAGGTTCTGCTCAACTCCAAGGGTCTCTGAGCTGTTGGTTAGCTGAGAGGTAGCACTGCATGGGCTTGGGAGTCCTAGGAAGTAAAACTGGGAAACCATAGTTTCTGGAAATCTTTGAAGTATCTCATCTCCCTTCCCTACCCACTCACCCTCCTTCTTTCTCTCCTCATCGCTGCCCACTCCCACCCCTGACTTCAGAAAGTTCATACCAGGATGTCCAGGCAGGCGGCCTTCAGCAAGGTGATTTGGTCTGCGATGGTCAAGCCAGTGAAGCCCGGCAGACGTTTAGCAAATTCCACGATCTTAATAATGCACTTGGTGGCCAGTTCACTGAATTTATCCCAGAGGCCCAAGTCCAGTCGGACTCGATGGTCAGCACTGGAATTCTGAGAGAGAGAGAAAACACCGTCAGGTATAGTTCCTGGAAGCCCAAGGTAGGCAGGGAACTCCACATGCTTCTATTAATAGGATGACATTTTGGACTTGACCATATTGCTTCTTGAGGGTACAGCCTGTATTCATGCTTTGAAAATGTGCAAAGTGTTATGCCAGTGTCAGTGGATAATGAAGGAAGAAATTAGTTATCTGGCTAATAAGTGCAGAAGGACTGATGGAGTGAACACTTGCTAGGCTACAACCCTGACAACTAATGACTGGACATTAGCCATCAGTGGTGGCTAATATCTCAGAACCAGGCAGCCTGCCACATGGGTTCTAACTTGTCCTGACGGGAAACACTACCACCTATGCAACAGTCTGGCCCAGAGCAAACTTGAGTCAGATTGAGCCTCTAGATCTAACCGGAGGAAATCCAGGAATGTGGGAATGATACCACAGGAGTGCAACTGGCAACACCCGGAAAGCCTAAAAAACCAACATACAGGTTTCTTCAACAAAGAAGATTCCAAGAGGGAAAAAATATAAAGAGACACCTAGAGAATAAAAGTGACTCAGCTGCCATGCTTTGCTATTAACAGAAGATAACTAAGTTATGACTCCAACTCTGAAATCAATGCCGGGGGCATTCCCAGAAAGAATACAGGGCTCCATGGCACAACACCGGAGACCTTCGAAAGCACTGTGCCAAACGGAGGAAGGCAGACGCAAAGCCTATTCACAAAATGATTTCACGTACATGCAATTCTAGAAAAGGCAAAACTACAGTTTTGAACCAATCGGTAGTCTCCAGGGACTGGGATGGGGGAGAAGGCCCGCAAGCTGCACGAGGGAATTTTCTGGAGTGATGGAAATGTGCTACACCCTGACTGAGGTCACAGCTACACGACTATGTACTTCTGTCACAAGCATCAAACCATGCCTTTAAAAAAAGATAAAAGAAATCACACATGTAAGTTATTCCCCAAAAACTTTTTAGGAGACTTATAAGGTCTAAAACTTACCTGAATTCTGATTCAAACAAACTATAGACTGTGTCAATAGGAGAAAACTAAAACTCTGAGAGATCAAGGCGTCTGAGGTATTAATTTTATTTAACAGTGGCACTGATGCTTTGCTTTTGTACTCTCATTTGAAGCACACACTGAGATATTTACAGGTAAGATGGTGAGAGGTCTGCAAATTCCTTCAGAATGACATGTTCTGGAGAGCACAAGGGTTAGAGGTAAGACTGGCTGTGGAGTGATCACAGGGGTTTATGTTTGAAATCATAAGAAGTGACAATAATAATAAAGAATAATAATAAAAAATACAAAAATGATGAAGATTAGGATCTCTGAGTGCTTCAGTGGCCTCAGACTTGGCATCAGTTGAGTGGGGTGTCCCAGGCCTCAGGAAAGTGCCTCTGATCTGGTCTGGTCAGTGGGGGTGGGGTTCCTACCTCTGGACACAGTGATTGGTTAAGGAAAGAGCATGTGATCCAGAGCAGACCAATGACATAAATTCTGAGACTCTGGTTGGAAGAACTGAGGAAGTGAAGCTCTTTGCCAGTGGGAGTGAGCTTTCAGGGGTCACCAAGTGGAGAAGGGCTCTCTAAAAATACAGCCAATTAGAGGGAAGGCTAAGCTGAAAGACAGAGGAGGAATGGCTCAATCCTGAAGACAAGAAACCTGAGTCATATGTGTGTTTTTTTTAAATGTAAGTTGATTTGAGTTGTGGTTCTGTCACCTGTAACAGAAGAATTCTGACTAATGTACAGTTTGGGCTCTTGAGGGTTAGGTCTGAGAGTTTTACACTTTCCTCTGAAGAATCATCAGGACTTAAGGAAGAGGTTCTGCTGCAACTGCCACCACCACCTCCCTCCTGGACTACTGCAGCACCTCCTCACGGGTGTCCCTTCTCCTACCCTGGCCTCATGAAAGCAGCAAGGGATCTTGTAAAACACAAGCCCAAGCAAGACACTGCTCAAAATCTCCAGTGATTCCTCCATCCTTTCAGTGGCTGGCAGGTCCTCCCCACTCCCTCAGTCCCAGCCACTCAGGGCTCCTGGCTATACCTGACTAAGTCTGAAATGCCCCGGTTCAAGTCTGTTCCCCACCTGCATTGCTCTCCCCCACGCCCTCATATCTGCATGATACACTCTCTCATTCTGTGTCTTTCATTAAATGTCATCTTCTCTTTCACCTTCCCTAGTGTCCATGAAGACTGTACCCCCACTATCTCCCCAGAACTCCACACTCCCTCTCCTGAGTCTGATCATTTCCACACAGCTTCTTGTCTGATTTCTCATTGCTGTCTTGTCACTGCCAGCAATACAGGTGACATAGCAAGCACCTGCTTGCTATGAATCAGTGGGTGAAGCTCCCACAAATCCCTGCTTGTTTGAACTATCCCAGAACTGTTGTCATTCTGAGGATGAGGCTCAAAGATGCCGCTTCTCTTGGTGGTGGCTGAGGTCAACCTGCTCATGAGGCTTTGAACTCTGCTCCGTCCCCAGGCAGGACTGAACCATCTAAGGGGGTCAAGGCTCCCCAGGGCTGTGCGTGGCCCTCTAGCTCAATAAAGGGAACCATGCATCACAAACACACGGCTTTGGCTTTCCACCTCAGTTAAAAAATCAGTCCTCAGTGTCAAAGTAGTGCTTGTTTCCAACATGTCAAGGACCTGGATGAAGAAACCCTACAGACAGTGGTGACCATGGTGGCCTTCCACAACACTGCTTGTAGAAGTAGGTGTGCGTCTTCCAGATTCCTTTCTCAAGGACCTTGGTGGAATGCAGTACATTTGGGGGACAGAAGATCAAGATGCATGGTTATTTGGGCTGTAATTAAATTTAATAGGCAGTTTATCCAGTTTGTAGGAAGATGCCATGGAAGAGAGGGACAGAGGCAAGCTGATGGGAGAAATGATTTTGCAAGGGAGTATCCATCTGGAAAAAAAGGCATTGCTGGGCCCAGCAAGTGTGAACAAAATCTTTATCAGCAGCGTGGAGGCACTCCATCAGGCACAGGGTGGGCGGGAGGGGCCTGTCGGATCTTCTATTAAAAATAACGCACAGCTGAGCAGTGGATGTAAATCCAGCTCGCCATTATGCAAACTGAAGGCAAGAGGCAGTTAATAAAACACAAAATAACCTGGTGTTTTATTGTCCTGGGGGCCAGATTCATAGGCGTGAGGCTTCCAATGGCTTACATGCTATCTTCCAGCTGCAGCAGGTGCAGAGCCCTGGCCCCAGGCTGGGGAGGATGGTGGTTCCAGGAAGGAGAAGAAGTGTCAGGGTGGCTCTGAAGGTGAAGGGAGGGACTGAGAGGGCCAAGAGGGGCTGGGGTAGGAGGCAGCAGGAGGAAGAAGAGTGAAGGGAGAGAAGGGACAGGAAGGTCCCAGCTCAGTCTCAGAGTTCTTCTCCCTTGCTGAGGTGCAAGGACATCTGGGGCTTCCACCGAAGGCTCCTCAGGCAGGAGCTCCACCACCTTCCCACAGTGCTGTACTCTGAGGCCCCTCCAGGATCCTCTTATGTCACAGAAGAGCCCAGCCCCATTATGAAAGTCAATTAAATGGCCATTTTTGCAGGCAGATGGCCCCCTTTCTTCTGCTGGTTTGGTTCTTGGCTGCCACGCTGCCTTTCTGACTGTCTTTATGGAGGTGGAATCACCAGTGTCTTGAAATTCCCACTGATAGCAGCTCCTGGGTACTACAGTGGCATATTCAAAGCTTTTGTAGCAAAGGAAAAAATAAAAACTTTTAGGGGTGTCCCATCCTGCTGTTGCCTGATTCTTGGGCCAGGCAATAAGGCGGTGGGGACCCCACACAGCTGCAGCCCCTTCACTCCTGGGGGGCAGCCTTGGGAGTGAAGTACAGTGGCAGTGGATGTGTGTGTGTGTAGGCATGTAGATCATGTCCCAAAGGATGTCCAAGTGATGCTAAAATTTGGAGGTGACTGCAGCTTCTGGGAGGGGCCATTGAAGGCTTCTGGAACTCTGGTGGCCCATCTAAGAAAGATAAAAAGGTCTACCCTGATTGCCTTTCAAAGCCAGGGGCTACCCTGTTGGAACTTCTAGAAACTTCTCTTGGCTCCCTGTGGCTAACATTCAACCCATCTTACCCTAGCATACCCCAGCCTACCTCCTCACACTCAGCTCTGCCTCTCATCTGGCCCCTCTCTGCAAGACCTGGGGCCATGTTCAAGCTATTCCTTTTGCTGGGAATGTCTTCTCCTTTCTCTACTGCCCAACAGAATTCTGGGTACTTTCAAGATGCAGACTTCCATGTGTGCTGCCTGTTCTAAAGGCTCATTACACTTGTGACAAAATTTGATTTCCAGCCAGACTTTGCAACAGAGCTGCAAACCCAGGATAAACACAGTGCACTCCAATTCTACTCTCAGCAGGAATTGGGGAGTTAATTGTGACCCACCCCCAACAAAGATATGTCGCAGCCCTAACACCCAGAACTTCAGAACGGAACTTTGCTCAGAAATCGGGGCTTTCCAAAGACAACCCAGTAAAAGTGAGGTCGTTAAGATGGGACCAAAGTGAAGACACAGAGGGAGAAGATGGTGTATGAAAATGGAGGAGCGGAGTGACACACCCATAAACCAAGAAACGTCACCCACTCTCTGTTGCCCTGCCACAGCAGCCTATGGAAGTAACCTGGTAGGTGCCTAGTCAGCGTGTGTTACAAAATCACAGGATGGAGTGCATGACGTGTTCAGGGCAGGTGCGAGCAACTGAGGCTGGTCCTGGGTGAGATTGCTGTGAGGTGACAGAGTGGGATCAGAAGTCTTGTCCCATGACTCTCCACTTATTATCCACTCACCTGCTGCATCTCTCCTAGGGGGCCAACCTCCATGAGGCTCAGGGTTTGGTTTTCTAGCTCATCACACACATCAGTTTCTTTTAAAAAGAAAGCGCCATCTGCCAGTAGCTACTAACTGTTTACAACATCCTTCCTAAAGCACTTCTCCTGGAAAGTCTGCTGGTGGCTTAAGGATTTGGTTTGTGGTCATTCTTCCAAGGAGATTAAAGTCTCCTTAAATTTTCATAGTTCATATTCACAGGCCCCTCAGAGGACAGCTTATGTCCTACCAACCCCTGCAAGGTGATGAACAGCCTGGATGTGGCAGAGCAGTCGGTGCAGGGAGCAGATGGTCCAGCCTGGAGTCACGCTGGCTGGAGACGTGCTGTCATAGCCTCCACCTTCCTTTTCCAGAACCTGGACATGTGGTTCTAAATGATGATGGTTCATTCCTGAGTACCAAGGGGAGAAAAGCCACCCATTCTGTACCCCTCTTCTCTAGCAGGAACTCTGACACACTTTTCTCACCAAACCCTTCAGGCAAACTATGAAGTAGCTACCATACCTCATTATTTATATATATGCATATATAATTTATATATATATATATATATATATATATACACATATAACAGGGAAGGGGGACTATCTGGTGAGGGAACCAATGGGAGAGGGAGACGGAATATGATCAAAACACATTGTATGTATGTATGAAAATGTCATATAAAGAAAAGCATTTGAAAATTGTAAAAAAAAAAAAAGAAGAAGGGGAGAAAAGAAATAATACAGGAAATGAGAGTGACTGGAGTACATTATTATACATAGATATTATAGAAATATCTCAATGAAACACTTCAGTCTGTAAAGGGTTGTAATATATGCAATAAAAAATTCCCAGATGAGGGAGCTGAGCCTCAAATGATGGTGTAAGGTCATGTACCATCTAAGTGGTGCAGGCAAGATTAGAACTTGGATTTATTAAGTGCCCAAGCTCCAACGACATGGTTGCTACAGTCAGGCTAAGGAAGCAACTCACATCCTCGGAGTGTTTGTCACCTCTGGTTTGCTCCCGAGGAGTGGGGCAATGGTCTGTACACAGCTATTCCACAACTTTCTCCTTTCCATCACCTCTCTTTTTGTGGTGAGGGGTCATTGGTTAGAAATCTTCCCAAAGACACTAGCTCTGCAGCTTGTAGGTGGGCACCCTGCCCAGGCCTAGGGTGGAGGATGGTGGGCACATATTTCTGACTCCTCCATCCATTCTTGTCACCTCTTAGGACCTGACCACTTGTTCTAAACTGACCCTAATTGGAGAAGAAAAAGTTGCTGTTTTCTGTAAGATCTGCAGGTGGGTGGCTGGCTGCCCGCCCTTGTATTCCTTTCTGCCCACTTATTCCGAAGGAGCATCTGACAGTGATGCCACTCTGGTGAAGGGGGCAGGAAGTTTCTTGCAGTGGAAGCAACTGCCTATCTAAAAAAAGCTCTTACAAATGCTCAACTCGGAACTGAGAGCTTGCTGAGAGCGTGTTATGGCTGCTGTTATTTATTTATATTCCCACCTACTTCCAGAAGGGATTTGAAGTTGCTTATAATGAACACAAAGCCAGATCTGTGTCGAGATAGAAGAAATACAGAGAAAGGCACTGACGGTTACCTCAGTGTGTCTGGACAGAAGGCACGCTGCCCAGCAACTAAGGGCCAGTCTTGGAGATAAACTGTATTTCTGTCTTCTTTGCTTGACTGAAAGAGGTGTAGAAAAGTCCCCACAAAGGGCTTAGGATGATGAGTCCCAGTTGACAGATGGTGCCTCGTCCCGTCCCCAAAAAGGGGTGAAAGGGAAGGGGCCCAGGACGCTCTGTCTTGGGCCAGAAGCACACCCTAAAATTAGGATCTAAAGGCAAGCAGTTTATTTGGGAGGAAACAGATAAACTCCCAGGAAGCCCTGGGAGGCAGAGGGAAGGAGGTACACAGTACTGAGCATCACGGAGGTGATGGATGGGGACTTGAGCTGGCTGGGGAACTCCAGAGTGGCTAGAGAATGCCCAAGGGTCACGCTGCCCAGGTGAGGAGGTGGTGTTTTACCTACCAGCTTCTGTGTTGCCAAGGCTAGGGCAGCTACCACAAGTGTCAGTGCCCCATGTGTGAGCCATCCTAGAGGGTCCAGACCACACCAGGCAGGCCACACCAGAACATGAGTTCAGGGAGGGGTAAATGCTGTGCTCTGTGGCTGTCCCACCCCTGCAGATAGACCCGGCCTTTTCACCTGGTTATCCTGTGAGTCAGCCTAGGGGACTGACTAGCCATCTGAAAACACCCTCACCTGGAGAGGAGGAAGGGGTCCCCTCGAGTAGAACGGGACCCAGGTATTGCCATGTTTTACCTTTTGGCCCAGTGCACAGCTTCCTCTTCCATGAAGACCTCACTCTAATCTGTTTTTCTTTTCTGGAGCTAAAAGTTTGATTTATTCCTAGGAAACAGGCACCTCCTCCTCCTAACTGATGCTACCAATGGCTCCCACTTCCTTTCTACTTCTCTGACTGCCCTCTTGGACTATTCTGGGCATAGGGTATGGGTTAAGAGATCTGCCCTGGAGTCAGACTGCTCAGGCACAAGTCCCACCTCTGCCAAGAGGGTAAGCATGAGGTAAAGGGGAAGTTACTTAGCCACTCTGTGCCTCAGTTTACTTATCTGTGTATGGGGTCAATAATACCCACCTCATAGAGTCCTCATAGGGAGAGAAAGAATTAGAATATTTAGTGGGGTGTCTGGCACATGATAAAGGCTCAGTAAATATTGGCAACAATAACAGTGATGCTAACAGTTATGAAGACATCAGATCACCAACTGTCACTTTCTATTATCTATAGATGAAAATCTAGACTCATCAGCTGTGTTCAGCACTCTGTAAGGATTTCCCCTTTTCACTCCCCACTCTCTCTCAGCATGGCCCCACTATTCCCTGCACCTGTTTCCTCTCAGCCTTTTTTGCCCCCTCCACCATCCCAGCCTGGGTTGATTTCCTCATTCCTTAGACCAGGGTCCACTCACCTTGATAGAAGAGTCAAGGCCAATACAGTGCCTCAAACATGGCTGGGGAAAACAACTGTTGGGGATGATAACTGTTCCACAAGTTAAAAATGACCTGCTCCCTGGCTCTTGACTCCTCTTCAAGTGCTGCACTGGCAAGGGCCAGGTCCCTGGGGGTCAGTTCACCCCTGGGGTATCAGTGCTGTGTGGATGCTGCCAGGTTTCAACACAGAAGCCTTTCAGAAATTGGCCTATTTCAGTCTCTCATTTCCTGGCACACAGCTGAGCAGAATCTGAACCACACAGATGTGGCTCCAGGACCTTGCTCTGATACATGGTGTCATCCTTCACAGCCACTGCTTTCCTTCCCCGTGGCATCTAGCCTTGTCCTGCTCTGTGTCCTGCTCTGGGCTTCCCCAGCTCAGGCAGAGCTGGTCTCTGGCAGGCTGCAGTGTCTCTGCTGCTCCTGGCACAGGCTGTGTGGGCCTCACAAGGTCACCCTGGTCTTACTGCAGTCCAATGCTTGAGAAACGTCCCAGTCCGAGCCCCCGAGTCGGAATCCACAGGTTTCCAGGGTAGCTACACACATGACTTTGGGGAAGCGCTGTTCTTGGTTCTTTCTGTGCTTCCAGATGTGCACAAGTCTCTAGTTCAGCCAGGAGACCTGCTGTCTTGCCCTTGCCAGAAGTTGGTACCACTGACCACAGCCTTGACATTGCCACAGCCTCAGGTTCCCTTGGGAAGCCACAGGGGTGGGTTCCAGCACCAAGCTCCATCAAACCTTCTGTGCCTGCGCTGTCTCCATTCCTGAGCACCTCAAGAATGACTTCAAAGCCCCTCCCCGAGCTATCCCTTTCTTCCTGCCATCAATATTGCATCTTTTAATCCTCAGGACCTTCTTTCTTTCTTTTTTTTCTTTTGATGGTACTGAGGTTTGAACTTAGGACTTTGTGCTTGCCAGGCAGGCGCTCTACCATGTGAGCCATGCCTCCAGCCCCTCAGGGCTTGCTCACTAACATTTTTACAGCACATCAGTTATCAATCTAGCAAACGCAGCAATACTTGGATTTTCAAGGAACATTTACCAGCATCTCAGGCAACAATACAAGCCATTTAAAGAGGCCAAAATGCTGTTCTAGTTTTATCCATTTATTCATTCGTCAGTTATCTAGTGAGTGCCTAGTGTGTGCCACAAACTAGGAAACTATGTCAGTGCATACAATGCAAGTATATAATACAATACCTCTTGAAAAATTAAAGGACCTCATGACACCTCCCAGGCACATTCTAGACCAGCTAACATGCTCCTACCCTTCATCTCGCATGTCTCCCCACTCCCTTCCTGAATTCTAACCATACTGAAAGCCACCCCTACCTGTGCCCTTCTAGGCCCTGGCTGGTTTTTATACCCACTCCTCACTGAAGCCAGACCTTGGCTTAAGGGATGGCGCTATAATCTCAATCGGACTCTACAGCTGGACTGGTGTTTATAAAAGATTGAGCCTGTCACCCCTGGTTCCCTATGGGCTCTGTACAGGTGTCTGTCACAACCCAAGTAATTCCTCACTGCCTTGCCTTACCTTCTTCACCAGACCAAAGTCCCTGCCTGAGAGCAGCAACAGATAATTCATGTTGCCAGGGCCTGGCATGCAACCTGGCATATAGTAAGCACGCAGTGAATGCTTCTTGAGTGAATGCATGCACGCACAAGTAAATTGAAGGACCACCCATCCTATTCAGTGACTGTCCAAAGGCCACTATGTGGAAACAAGTGGCCACTGTGCAGCCCCACTTGGCTGACTTGCAAAAGTTCTAGGCTAAGTTTGGGTGGATGACCCTGCAGGTTCAGGACGTGTGTGTGTGTGTGTGTGAGTGTGTGTGTGCATGTGTGAAAGGCCTGTGCTCACACCCCCAGCAATCTGCGGTGGAAGCGGCTCTTACCGTGGTGTATTTACCCAGCTGGCAGAGTGAGGGGAAAGTTTCCTGGTGAGCCTTTCGGATCTTCTCTGTGAGGTCGTCCAGCTCAGCTGTCATCTCATAGCTCTCTGGGCACTCCTGCTTTGTAGGCTCCTTCTTTTTCTTGTTCCTGTCATTTCTAACAGCTGGAAAATGAGAAAGAAGGGAAACCAGAGGTCACTAATGGCTGGAACTGTGCTGCCAGAGCTGGGAGTTTCCCTCTCCCAACACTGCCTTGTGATCCCCCCTGGTACCTGAAACAGGAACAGTGAGGAAAGGTGGGATCAACACCCCACTTGTGGGACAAGGGACTCCGCAGTCAGGGCTCCTGGGCAGAGGGCAAGGTTTGTCTGGGTGGGCATGTGCCAGTCAGCGTAGGGAAAGCTAGCAAAGTGGGAGGCTGAGTCCTGGCTGTGTGAGAGAACATTCCATGTGAACGGTGTCCTGTGAAGACGGACTTGTCCAACAGTGTTACCCCAGTTCCAGAGAGGCTGCTCTGCAAACGCTGTGGGACACCCCTTGGGCCTGGGAGCCAGGTCCCCGAACACAGCCTATGTGGCTTCATAATTAGTGTTTCCTAGCTGGGCATTTGGGTTTTTTGTTTGTTGGTTGGTTGGTTGGTTTTCTAAATAAACTGACTGGCATCTTTGAAGAGATTTGGCTCAGGGGTAGAATTATGGAAAGTCCTTGCTGGACTTTCTGTGTTAACCATACAGCCTTTTGCTATTTATAAAACAATTTAAAAACAGTAGAAAACCCTCACCCTGGAAAACCAATCACTCATTCACAGTCGCCAATTCCAGGTCTCATCAGGCACCCCTGGACTGCAGCAGGTCCAGGAAGACCTGCTTTTTGCCCCTGCACGCCCCAGCCCCACAGCGCCCATCACACAGTTGGGGTCAGGACTGGTACTGCAGGTCGGTGGAGGCCCAGCCTCCTCCCAGGTTTCTGGATGACAGTGATCCAGTGCAACTAGATGCTCCAGCTCCCACTTGGGAGCACCTGGGGAAGAATACAGAAATCCAGGATGGCAGACAGGTGTAACCAGACCGCGTGACCCCCCTCTGGGGAGTTTCATTTCCCAGGCACCCGTGGGTGCCAGACTGGATGCGGCCTGGCTGAGAATGCCACCAGTGTGACCTGGGATCGGTCACACTGCAAAGTGACCCAGGGCATAATCTGATCTACCTAAGAGGATTTGGCCCGATTGCCTCCCTAAGGATGCCTGGGCCATCTGAGCACTGGTAGCTTTTAGGTCCATAGTAGCATAGTCCCCAAGCCCTGCAAAGGGCAGGAGCAGGGGGTGGAGTAACCAAAGTCAGAGGATGAGGAGAGGTGACAGAAAGAGTGTGACTGTTCTGAGAAGTCAGCCTGTGCAAGCTGCTCAGGCTGCCCAGGAGGGAGGGCAGTTGGGAGAAGAGGAACACTTAACTCTTTGAGTATCATGAGCTCTGTACTGGGAGCTTTGTCCATGGAATCTCACTCAATTCCCTTATCAGGTATGCAGTTTTAAACCCATTTTACAGGTAGATAACTGACACCCATGTTTATGTAGATGGCAAGTTCTTTCCTCACTTGAACTCATGTAGTCCCAAGAAAATGGCCACCTGGGAGGACAGTGACTCCCTCTCCTTTCTGATATGGCACTGTACTAGACTGCTAGGAATGAGGACTGTATTCTTCCCTAGTAATAGACTGGCCTGGCCTATCGGGGTCTCTGTGACCAGCTCTTCCCAGGAGGTGCAGGGAAGAGTGAAAAGAGGGAAGATACAAAGAATTCAGTCACCAATGGAGACACAGGGAGGGAGCAGGGGCAGCACAGGTGACAGGAACCCCCACATTGGTGGCCCTCCTAGGGACCGCCATGTCCTCTGTGAGAGAACACTGCAGCTTGGTTCTGAGGATGAATCATGGTGATGGCTGACAGAGTGTCCCCTCCTTACGGTGAGGGCAGGTGATGCTGGGGAATGGGGCTGGTGTGGGCTGGTGGGCAGCTGTGCTATTTGATGGCCACACCCTCTTTCATGCCAATGGCACTTAGCTGGCATATGTACCCACATATCCATGATGGCCCTGGGGAGTAGACAAGCTGCTTTCCAGCACAGCTCACCCCTGGGAGAGGGGAGAGCACAGGGAGGCAGGGCAAGGGGCCTACACAGTCACACCTGCCTCAGAGCCTCCTGGTCTGGGACAATCCGGAAGGCAAGGACCATATTTTGTTTGCCTCTGTGGTACCAGGGCTTAATACAGAACCTGAGCCACAGTGGGGCTCAAGAACTGTTTTGTGAATGACAAGGTACATATGTGACTAGGTGTGGACTTCCATCCAGCCACCATCAGGGCCTGTGTGCAGGCAGACAGAGCTCACCTGAGCCTCCTTGCTTCCAGGAATTAAATTTCTCACGGTCACCTCGAGGTCTGCAGAGGAATCACTAACCGCTCTCCACCCCTCAGCAGTGCCAGGAGGGTGATGAAGTGGCAGTGGGGGCATCCAAAGGGTCAGGAGTGTGATTTATACACCTGATAGAACCCGGCCCCATGTTTGCAAAGCGCTTCTTGGACTAAAGGTGCCCCATAAAATATCAAGTATTCTCCTCGTGAGGTGCTAAGTGCCACAAATCAGATTTGGTGGCATAAAAGTAACATATTTATGATCCACTATCATATTGCAAATGAAATGAATGTAATAAAAGTGTCACTTATACAAATACCTCTGATGTACGGGCCTCGACCTATGAATATGAAAACAGACACCCAAGCACTTTTATTTGAATGTCTAATCATGGAAATAAATGAAGTCATGTTCATTTTAATGTGTGCACTTGTGCATGTATCTGAAATATTGATTTCCATGCACACAAGAAAAACTGAATGCAAGAACATGCATGCGTTATCCTGAGGTTTAGACGTGGCTCTCACTTGGACTCAATGAAGAAATGAACGCTCGCTAAAAATTCCTTTTCAGGTCAAAAAAATGAAGGTTCCATTGATGGTGATTTTTTTTTTTTTTGTCCAATAAAGTTTTTTTTTTTTTAATATTCAGTTAGTAAAGGGGCTATACTGGTCCTATTAACTCTTTGCTTGAAATTAAAGTTTGAAAATTTGCACAATTCTGATTCCTCAGCTGCCCTTGCTAACTGCAACCAAACTAATTGATAACAGTTTGGTGATTGAAGGTGAACTGGTTTGTCGTGAAGTGGGGAGGGCTGTGACTAACATACTGATTCACTCAAGAGAAGAA